CCTCAGATTGCGAGTCGAGTGCCCTAACCACCTGGCCAATTTCGAAGAAACTTCGACTTAAAAACAGAAATGGTTCGAGGCTGTGTGATACCTTGTCATAAATTTACAATGCTTGTCTGTCTGTGAGTGCAAAGACAAGGTTTTCCAGCCTTTTATTTTTCTTATATTTATATAACAATTTATCCTTTTATTATATTATCTAGGACTAACGTTTATCTGTGCAGTTTTGAGATAAGAGCAGCAGTATGGTTTATGAACTTTTGTTACCACAAAGATACGAACCTGTTTTCGGAATAGTGAACATTTTTGTCTAAAACAACTGAATTATTTCGAATGTATGCTAATCACGATTTTCTCTCACTCTTAATTTTATAAAGACATTGCGTGAGAGAAATGTATGAATTAAGTGATAAGGCTGAAATTAGGTTACTGAGAAACCTTATATAAAACATAACTAGATTTACAATATAAAACAAGGATAAAACGAGTTCCATAATGAAAATCTCTGGAAAACATTATGCTGACAGACACTAGATAATCACTGACGTCATTCACCCATAATTACCCAGAGATCAAATCGCCCCATAACAGTGTGTTTCTAGATGATTCTAGAACTAGAAGAAGAAGAAGAAAGGTTTACTTTTTTTTTTCCACACGTTTCTTAATTTATCAAATAAATAACTATATCGTGGTCTTTAAACTTTCCTTTACAGCTTCGAGGTTTACGGTTTAGGTTTAATTTTTTTCTTCTAGTATGATCATTTAAGGCTCTAACAAACAATTTTATAACTTGTTCTTTCGTTGGGCAGAATATTTTGAATTATTTGGTGAAAATAATGAGAAATCCAGTCCACTTAATGATAACGAATTAATTGATTTCTTCTGTAACGTTTACTATAGGCTACGTTCACTTTGACTGAAGTTGTAGGCTTCAGTTCACGACAGAGTTTCAACAGAAATTCTTCGCTAGTGATACCTACGTCTAACTTACTTAACTTTGATAAATAAACACGTAATTCACCGAGCAATTGAATAGCAGATTAGATGCGATGACTCCCATTGTCTAACACTGAACTGATACACTCATTGAATACTCATTGATAACTCTTATTACTTATCACAATATAGAATGATTACGTAGTTCTCCGATTTCTGTGTTTAGTTCCTCTTGTAGTTGGTTTGAACTACTAAAGGGAGGGTTTGTTTCGTTTTGAATTTTGTGTAAAGCTAGGGTTATCAGAGGTAGCCATTCCTGATTTAGCAATGACAGACTAGAGGGAAGACAGCTAGTCCACACCACTCACCGTCAACTCTTGATCTATTCTTTTACCAACGAATAATGGGATTGAACGTCACATTATAACACACTAACAGCTAAAAAGGGGAGCATGTTCGGTGACGGGGATTCGAACCCCCGATCCGCAGTCTACGAGTCGAGCGCTCTAATCACCAGTCCACGCCATGCCCTAAAGTGAGGTATCATATTTTATCATCAGGCTATGCTAGGCCTTAAAGGGAGGTATCATATTTTATCAACAGGCCATGCCAGGCCTTAAAGGGAGGTATCGTATTTTATCATCAGGTCATGCCAGGCCTTAAAGGGAGGATCATATTTTATCACCAAGCCATACCAGGCCTTAAAGGGAGGTATCATATTTTATCACCAGGCCATGCCAGGCCTTAAAGGAAGATATAATATTTTATTACCAGGCAATGCCAGGCCTTAAAGGGAGGTATCATATTTTATCACCAAGCCATGCCAGGCTCTAAAGGAAGATATAATATTTTATTACCAGGCAATGCCAGGCCTTAAATGGAGGTATCATATCTTGCTCGAATTTTTTACCTGAAGTAAATTTTATTTTTATCTATATAAAAAATGCGGTTAATCGTTTCACTTTTACTTATTCACAGTTTAAGGAAGTAATTTATTATTTAAAGGAGTAATTTATTTAAATGTCTCTTTCAGTCATTTCTGTAACTGGAGCATGTTTTGCGTACTGTTTCTTTCGTGGACCTTCTCGTTCACATCATAGTTCACCCGATTTACATCAATTCTCAACAGATTCCTGACACTCAACCCAATAAAAGCATTCTCTTGCTCAGGGCCGTTTTATCCAAGGGACAAAAGGGACAGTTGCCAAGGGACCACTGGGAGTATAATAACAATGAAGTGAATAATAATAATAATAATAAACCAGTTTTTAAAACTATATTTTTCCATTTTTATTTCCTTATGTTTTATCACTAATAAATTTAGTTTATTAAATTGCACGGTATTTTCTTAAAAGCAAGAGCGAAAGATGGAGCCACTAATTTATATCCCCCCCCCCAATCTCTTAACGGGGCACTGCTTTTACTCTCTCTAGTGTCTTTTTTAATACCTAAATGTATTTGTTTGTTAGTTTATAGTTAACCGCAAAGCTGTACAATGGGCTATCTGTGTTCTGCTCACTACGGGTATCGAAACCAGGTTTCTAGCATTGTAAGTTCGCTGACATACCGCTGTGTCACTGTGGGGTGGGTGGAAGGTTATGGGGTATTGTAGAATATAGATATTGTGTAAGTACCAATTGAATTTTTCGTTTCTGTGTGCTGATATCTTCCCATTTTCGACATAACAAGCCATTCAGTGGGTATAATGGATCCCTCTCTGCCCAGTACATCTTTGGACACGTTAAATACAACACACTATATATATATATATATAAAAACCATATCAACATACGCACTTACATCATATGTATAGAAATAAACAGAATTACACTCAGCAAAATTACCAGGTGCGTGTGCATAGAATTACTGTGGGGGACCTTTGCCCCTTTTGGTCAGATGTAAAGTAATAGTTGTTTTAATTAACTATTTGTCAGGTTTTAATATAAGGCCAATAAAAAGACTAGGAACATTAATAGCGATGTTAGAAAATTCAAACGTAGTTTGGATGCCAGATATTTTTTCTGATTACCGTTGGTGGCGTTATACTATTTTGACAAACAGTGCTTTAAAAAAATCTAAATAATAACAATAACGCTGATTCAATTCTATCAATTGTTTTGGGTCTAGAAGACGTAAGCAGAATAACTAATCTTAAACATTAACATTTTAGTTAGTTGACTTAATCTTGTTTAGGACTAACTTTAGGGCTAACTTCTTACTAGTAAAATAAACAAAAATAATTACTCACTTCTTACAACCAAAAAAAAAAAGAGTTTTTATTTATTTAAAAAAAACACGAATTTTCAATTTTTTTTTTTTTTTTTTTT